AGGTCTGTGGCTCAACGGCTATAAACGTAACATTTTTTAAGTTTCGCGTCAGTGACACCTTTGTTAGGCCGCAGCTATGCAGATACGGAGTTGCGATACACATCATTTCAGCAACCTTTCTGCATTCTGCATAACTCCCAAATCCCATTGGTTGATACAAACTCGCGTGCCTGAAACTAATGTTTTATAGGTGGGCCTTGGTGAGCCCTAACCCTATTAAAAAGCAAGTGGCCGCAGAGCGACAGCGCTGCATGCTAAGCCGTATATGCGGTGACTCTGTGGTGATGGTGCGGATTCTACGTAAACGCGCTGCTGAGTCCCAAATGTGTTCACATACACGCCGAAAAGTGGAATGCACAGGATGGTATCAGGAACCTTCTGCAAAAAGAATGTTCGTTGGGATCGTTATGAAAGGTTGCCCCGAGAATGGCGGGCGTAAGTTTAAGTGTCTTCAGATAAAGATGGAAGCTCCATGCATATCGTAGTAGCACACTAAACTTTGGCAAAGACAGAAATAGGTTAAGGCACTCATCCATTACCTACGCAAGCCGTACACTGCAAATTGCAATAGAAGCTGCACCGTGTACACGAATTAAGGCAGGCAAAACCTGCCTCTAATCATCATGCACTGGCAGGCATGCCACTGCAGTCGGCAATAGCGTTACATGTAACATACTGAACAGTACAGAATGACATAGAAATTATACGATTTAAAGGAACATACACTTCTTTAACCAAATTTAGCTTTTGAAATTTCACTTGACATTGTAGCCTCATACATCAGGCATGTATAGATCTACTAGGCAAACCCAGCAGTACAAATTCTTTCTACCAGTAACAGTTAAGCAAATCCATGTTTAAATCGCTCTCTTGCGGGTCAAAAGTTATCAGACACTTATCTTTCGGCACGTCAGTGGAAAGCATCATTTCAAGGTTCCTTTCAATAAAGGCCTATAAAAGATGGTAGGTCACCGCTGAAACAAAAAAGTTTTTCAATTAGCTCCGTCCAGACAATGTCGCTCAGAAAAAAATGTCTAAAATCTGCCCTGTGCCCTTGACGACTGTGAGCCTCCAATTTCGCACAGTGGTGGCTTTTCCTAAACATGATGCTATACACCGACTATGCACAAGCCTAGGTCGAGGCCGTTTTAGATTTGTGGGGCCCGGCAATTCTGCGATTTCTCCCTATACTTGAAGTTAAAGGAGTCGAATGTTCCTCCGCTTATTTTACAGACCTCTTGACCTTTGACGCGCTTTGACCCCCCAGCTTCGACATCCCGCGCAACTCGCGTTTTCGGATTACCCCCCTGGTCCGAATATGCGTGACGTCACGTCGACGCGGTTAAGATTTGTGGCCGCAAACTGTTGAACGGGACGTGAACAGGAGGCATGGACGGACGCACGGACCGGACGATCATCGGATTCCTACAAGCTGCATCTGATATGTCAGCATGAGCTAATAAAACACATTCTCTGCCGAGCAAATGTCCTTAAGTTACTATAACACTAAAATTAAACAGCAAACTATCGTCTTAAATATTGACTTGCGATTATTAGCTGCGTCGACGAAGATTGTTTATACAACGTTGTAACGCCGCCATTGTCTCGTTGCGCAAGCTCGCGCGGTTCCGGCGCTGAGGAGCCGGGCACAATGTATTTGCAAGTGAGGGTGGGCAGGTTGCACGGATGTTAAACCGCCATTCTTTCGTCTGCGTCAGCGGGCTAGCAGCAGAGCATCGTGTTTTTATTTGGCATCCGAAGAAGTTATTATAAGCTAAAAGTGTGAGAATAAAAACTCATTCGAACATTGCCGATGTTACGCTCTATAGCCGCTCGGCGGCAACTGTACCGCGGGGCATAAGTGTACTAGAGGCTGATATGGGTCATGTCCGCCCGGGGTACTGCCGGAACGTACCTAGCCTACTCGCACTAACGAGTCCCTAGGGAGTCGCCTACGCCTTCTCCTAACCCGATACCCTAAAACCTAACCGCTAACCTAATCCTAAAACCAATATCAAATAGTGACCTATGGTACGTTCTGGTATTACGCGGACCGTACCCCAGGGTAGCGTTCGCGGCAGTACCCTGGGGGACATAGACGGCCTATGAGTATGAGCGTTACTAGTCGCGTGAGAATTCCTCTGACGCAATGCCCGCACCCGAGCCGATTTTGGTGGATTTGTGTGGGTTAGGTCCGAGCAAGCTTGCCTATGGCAAACGTGGAATTTCCTCCCGATCCGCCGAGGATTTGCTGTTTCATCGCTGCCAAACTCACAATTGGGGGTTGTGTTCTTTTTTTTTTTTTTATTTTTTTTCATTTTTTTTGTTTTTTGTTTTGTAAGAAATCACTCAGAACCCTGACGCACAATAGATCGAGAAACTGGATAAATTATATGCTTGCTCAGCGTTGGTAAGTACACTTATGTACTCTTTTACCTTAAGTCGATTCGATTTGAAAATTTGTGCTAAAGCCAATTTCCCTCCGACATCGCAATCGGGCCCATCCATAGTGCATCAACTTGGCATTGTGGGAAAACAAAGCAGAGTAGCGTAGGTTGCGTGGTTTCCCCAGCAATTGCAGTTGGATGTACGATGGATGGCCGATGCATGTCGGAGGGAAATTGTTAGCAACAAATTTTCAAATCGAAATACGACTAAGGTAAAGAGTACAAGTGTCACTTACCAAACGCCGAGCAAAGCATATAAGTTATCTCAGTTTTCGATATATGTGGCATACCAGATCTTGATTGATAGGCCCCAATTGTGAGGTTTGGAGGGTCGATAGAAACAGCGATCCTGCGCGGGATCGAAGAAAATTCCACGTTTTGGCATAGGCAAGTGCACTGACCTAACGCCACACCAAATCCACGCAAAATCGTCGGTGTGGGCATTGGTCAGAGGAATCTCGGACTAGAGCGTTACTAGAGCTAGACAAGTTATTGTGATTCATGACAATATTAGCTAATCTGTTAGTATTTAATGCATTCCACAAAACATCGGGATGGAAAGCAGTATTTGCGTGACCCAGTAATCTAATCGGCGAGTGAATCGCACCCATAGTCGATACGAAGGCCGAGCAGCTAGCCACATACTAAGTAGCTAGCTAGTACTAGCGTAACTGTCTGTGTGAACATTGCCGGGTAAACACAATCACAATTAGAATTGGAGCAGCAATTCGTATTCAATAACAAACTCATAAATGACAAGGTTAATCAATAGGTACTGCTAATCGTGAAATACAATTATGCTTCTTTGACCAATGTTTACTTCTTTATCGCAGCAGCCGAAGTGACAAGATAAATACCTGACATGTTTCAGATTGAACCTATCACTAAAGCTTCGAAACGGGCACACTTCTCTCAGCAATGGCGGCTTGCGTTGAAAACGAGGCATCAGTTCATTTATCAGTTAGTTACGTC